TAGTCGAATTGCGAGATGAAGCTTAACTGAGGCATTGCTGACCATTTCTCTCTCTCTCTCGTCTGCCATTCACTGGTCTTGTGCAGAGTTTTTGACATGCTGCCGACAACTGCATGCACGTCGCGGTTCCTTGCTGGTCTATTTCAAGTAGCACCTGTTTAAAAGCGATAAAATATTCTTTGTGTGGTTCATTAACGGTGATAAATTATCCGAAAGTCCCGTGAGGTGCGGACAACAGCAGTAGTAGTAGGGACAGCTGGAGTGGTAGCAGTAGTCTATTTAGCTTTTATGTTTTTTCACACAGATCTCTTCTCAGTTGTCCCAGGGGCAGTGATGTCATGATTTACTCAGGCCTCTGAGTCTAGACAGTCACACAGAAACTCTGCCCTGCAGGGTATCTCTTCCTACACTGGTGTCATTGATTTATGAGTCAATTTCACCTCAGTTTTCTTTAGATAAACACAGTGTTTGCCTTAAGGAGAGCAGCTGAAGTCAAAACAGTGATGAATAAACTGCTAAAGCAGCATTAATCCAAATGCATTTATCTATTTAGCTGAGTATACTCTTTCATAGCAACACCAGTAACACTGAGAAAAAATGAGGATGAAGACAGTCATCGCATAACAGAATTATAGGCAAGATACAGGTCCTGAAGAAGTACAGAAAGTGTTTTAATTTTTAGAGGCATTGCAGATAATTCAACACACAAAATGATTTCTCATAAACTTAAAAAAGTGACTCTAACCATGTGACTCACAAACTACAAGATAAACAAATATGTGTTTGTCCATGCATTCACATGCCAGTGGCCAGTTTCATGTCTAGTCTTGTTTACATAAAGCCGGCAGTTTTTATTACCACAGGTGATGATTGGATTACTGAGTAATATTTGTTCACAGGCAAGCTGAGATCCACTCCTGTCATCTGAGATCCAAAAGAACGTCATGTCTAAACATCTCATTTATACACACCTCTGTTTGAAAGTCTACTTAGATATACAGCAAAGATAAAGAAGTCAACAAACAAAGTCAGGAAGTCACATCAAGTGGACTTTCACTTAGGGTGATTCGTTTCCTGTTTCATTTGCTGCGCAAAAACCTATTTGCTTTTCACCAGCATACAGTCACCTTGCATGTACATTTTATTTTTGAGTGTTTCCTGGAATAAACTGTCTTTACAGGTGTGTCCCACATGAGATCAAATTTCAAAACAGCAACATTTCGGGCACAGTGGTGCAACGGTAACATGCTGATGTTTAGCAGGCGATGTTTACCATGTTAATCATCTTAGTTTAGAGTGTTAGCATGCTAACATTTGCACTAAACACAAAGTGTAATCGAGGCTGATAAGAATATCATTAGTTTTGCAGGGATTTGGTTTACTTTTGACCTTACTAAATAAAGAGCTACTTCCTGCACTGTCACTGAATGCTGGAATGGGATGCAAATAATTTCTAGTAATGAAGGTTTCAACTAGAGTTCGTAAGTTGTAGTGCATGTTCAACATTATGTGTAAGTAATGTGTATAAGTGGCTCATTCATGTACTCTCATTGAAGCATTCATGACTGCTTTAACGACTGTCTTTGTAAGGAAGCTAATCAATAGAAATTCTGTCTAATGGTCTCCATCATCAATAATAGAGTGGGGCTGAGAATTTGGCCTCTACAATATTCAGCATCTCAGAGAGCTTGTATCTGTTTATTAATATCCCTCTGTACTTATTTCATCACATGACTTGGTGACTGTACACACACCTCACAATGCAATGCAATGTAAATAACACACTAAACAAGGACCCACACAGCTCATATGATGCCACAGCTGGCTGGAATGGAAGAATTGTTGAAGATTAACTTTGTGTTGATTAACTACTTTAAGCACTACAACAGTCCCGTGTGTTCAAGGCAAATGCTTGGTGGCCTGATTTTACTGCTCTGAATAATTAAGACAGTCAGAATGGAAAATAAATATTAAGGTAAAAGATTTGTTGCTGTTTTGCAATAATATATATATACATTATTTTCATAAAAATTGTAAAATGATTCCAGTGTACAAACTCTTAATCGTTATTGTAGGGCTGGACAATAAAACAATAACAATAATTATCGCAATATAATTTTTTTCAATAACAATATAACAAATGTTCAATATATATTCAATATGTGTTTGATTTTATTCACTTGAATCACACACAAATTAGGACTTAAATATTTTATTAAGATTTTTATTTTGTTGAGGAAAAAGGACTGAAAAGAGCTTTTGCTTAATTTTACTCAGGCTTATTTGTTGAAAAGGATTTTCCAGTGTTTGGCATCAAGTGTTTGTTCTGACCATAAAGAAAAGTTTAAACCACAATTAACCATCAGGTTTCTTCAACTTTCACTCAGAAGCAAAAATTAGCCTTTAAACTCGAAAGAAAATAACGATTTGATACTTATCGTGATAATTATTGATATCGAAAGATATGAAACTTTTTATCGTGATAACATTTTTGGCCATATCGTCCAGCCCTATATTATTGCAATTCCATGTATGTGGAAATGGTTTCTCCAATTATTATCCTTGTCTCTCATCACGACTTAGGTAGACGATTAGTCTGCCATACTCAAATAAATGTAGAAAATGGATTAAATCAAGAACATGCTCTGAGCGTCCAGACAATACATGTCCAGATTTGGAGTATGAAACCAACAACTCCTCTGTATTGACTTTCACAAAAACAGGAAATTCTCACACTTGCACAAAGCAGCTATGCACACACTTCCCTGTTTCAGCCCGATTCAAGCCATCTGATTGATGGAATCATCAGCAGCCGTGGCTGAGAGGGGTGACGTCACTGGACACATAATGCAGCCTTGGCGTTCACAGTACATTAACAGACACGCTGAAAGCCAGAGATCGAGCCAAAGTCTCCTCCAGTGGAGTATTTTCTCCCAGAAGTCAGTGGAGGACTCTGACTCAGGGAACTGGCAAAAACACCTCGTACATCACCTCTTTATAACACACTTTCAGACAAGTTTTAGATTCATTTAACTTTCTTTGTGGGACAAGAAAATCATTGGGATGTATGCTGTGCTAGACAACTAGCAAAACGGCAAACACTAGGAAAGGAAGCTCCTATTCTGCATTGTGGTCTGCACTCGACAGTAAGACAGTAATGTGTTAAATTAAATAAAAACCTTTAACCTCCCACTATCCAACACGGTAGAACTTTACCACAAGAGTGGCAAAAATTAGGCCTAGTCGATAAGTTGTCAACTATTAAATTAATTGACAACTATTTTAACAATCAATTAATCTATTTTTCTTAGAAAAAAAGTCAAAATTCTCTGATTTCAGCTTCTCAAATGTAAATATTTTCTGGTTTCTTTGCTCCTCTATGACAGTAAACTGAATGTCTTTGGGTTGTGGATGTTGGGCTTTTGGAAACAGATCAACATTTTTCACCATTTTCGTGGCTGGTAAAGGGTTGCAGGTGTGAACTCCTTGTCTTCTTTCAGATTACAAAGAAATGAAACTGGATGGACGTGACAGCGGTAAATGCAACAGATACGGTTCATGTGCTTGAAGCTGAGCCAAACCCTCAGTCAGCAACATCAAACTCTCTCCACTTGCTCTTTTCAGCATCTTAAAATACTTTCATTGAGCTATTCAATTGACTTGGAGAAGCTCTCCTGTTGTCTGTATGCTCCAAGGACGGCCCGCATTTGCCACAGCAGCCACCACAGCACGGTTTAATTTGGGAATAACGCCTGGTGTCAGGTACAGACTAGCCGCATCCGTGTGACCGTACAGTGAAACAGAGCTCAGCGGGAGCTGTGACCTCTGCTGTAACGCCATCTGCTTCAGGTCAGCCTGACCATTATGGCAAATTAATCTCACTATGTCTGACATACAGGTGAAAGTGCTGCCAAATAAATTCACAAAAACAATAATATTTCTTAAAATGGAATTCAGGACAAATTGTGTTTTCAATTCTAATCAACAAAATCTTACAACAACCAATCTTACAACAACCAAGTCTAGTCGCCTGCTCTGTTTTACACACATTTAAAATTGAATGGAAAGTTGGAAAGTGTCCCATCAGTGTTGTACATTCCCTTCAGCTGCACTATACTTATGTACTCTGTGAATCAGCCACTGTCTGGGAGATCCTGATGGTGAAACATGAACTTCAAAGCTTTTGTTGTTGTTGTTGCCAAAAATCACCTCACCTACTGTCCTTGTCAATTAACATACCTCTGTGCCAAACTCCATTTGAAAAAGTGCTCTAGTTAAAGCAGACCTCTATTATCTGACAGGAATCCCCACAAGGATCCCTTATATACACAATAGATTCTTTGTGTCCTTCCATGGCAACTCCAAAAGCAGCTCTCCACCTTTCTAACCCACATTACCCCCCTCCCATTATTAACTATGTTGGCAGTAAAGGCTTGGAATGTCCCTTCCCAAAACATGTAGAGACTTCTAAATAGAAATACGTTTTGTTTTTTTGTAAAACAACAAAGTGTCTAACACCTGTTGTTCTGTTTTTTTATATGCTTCTGTTTTTTGTAAAAAAAAATTCAAGGGTGCGTCAAAGTCAATAACGTGACACAGAAGCAACATGTTGTAGCAAGCAGGATGTGGTCCAGGATGTGGTGTTTTAAACGACCTGACAGCCGAACAGCACCAATCGAGCTGACATGGCAGAACAGCAGAGTGAGTCGACGGCGGCTTCTCGTCTCCGGTGGAAAAGCTCCGTCCACTCCCACCGCAGCAGCACCGCAATCCGCGATGGCCGCACCAAATGTTTCACGTTCACACAACGAACCGTTAAACCGGCGGACAAACGACTGGTGTTCAGCGCTCTCTTTACTTACTCTTCCAAAATTACAAAGGAAAAGTTTATTTACATCGAGCCTTGGCTGCGCGCTTCACTGAACCAGGCGGCGAAAGGTCCGCTGGCAAAATGTTCCTCTCCCTCTGTTGGAAAAAAAAATTGTTAAAGGAAAGCTTACATTTGAATTGCAGCGAGTTGCCGGTTCGTATTTTCACAGTTCCGCTGATGGACTCTCCCGGACCGTAAACCACCTTGTTGTTTGTAAAGGTGATATCAAATTCTTGAAGCTTTCCCATGGCCGCTCCGCTACTCTGCCGCTCTGCGTCTCTGAAAGCAGCGAGGAGGCGATGCTGCGCTCTCACCTGCTGCCGCGCGCCTCCCCTTACAGACCAGTGACGTCACTGTGGCTATCCGTTGAAAGTAGCAATGGGAGGGATGATAACTCAGGCACCCTGTGGTTTATTGACTAAAAAGGAAGATCTCTTATGCAATTCAGGTGCAGGATTATAGAAAAGAAATAAAGTTGTCAATATTAGGGACTCATTTGATTGAATGAACTTATGTGTGACTGTGGTCCCTCTGTTTATTGAGAAAAAGAGCACTAAATGCCAGTAAAACAAAAGGGTTATGCAATTGTTAGTGATGCTATTTTAAGTGGTGCTTTTCCTATCCTGAACATTTTGTAAACTATGTAAAAGTAGGCTACGTTTTGTGGGGAACAAGTATCACAAAAGAAAATGTGCGGGTGGTGATGGTGCAGTGGATAAAACACATTCCTTTGACGTGGGAGACCCAGGTTCAATTCCCCACTGCGACACAGCTATCAATGTGTCCCGGAGTAAGAAACTTAATTCGTAGTTACTCCAGAGGCGTGCGACAGTTAAATGTAATGTAAAAACCAACTCCTCAGCGCATGCACTTCCTGTCTCTGACTGTACTTCCTGTCTGATGTGCAACATCAACGGCTGGAGCGCACGTGAAAGTTATCACGGCTGTGGTGCATAAAAAGCTTGCAGAAAAGGCTGATAATCTGTGCTGCCTTCACTTGCAGTTTTCATCTTGGAGATTCAATATGTTTTGCACAAAAAACATAACATGAAACACACAGAGACAGGCATTATGATCATCCTCTCTCTCTCTCTGTCGGCCATCATCTGAACAAGGATGATAATATTCCTGGTAAATGAGACAGATGTTTCCATGACGACAGACAAACACTACTGTTGCCAAGTTACTGCCTGTATCCATGGAAATCTGGAATGTGGTGGTATCTGATCTGGTCTAGAAACTCCATTTTTTTGTTTACTCATGTTGCAATAACCTCACCTTGAACATGTGTCATTTTAAAACTGCATAGGCTGAAAGTCAGAGGATCGCATGTCAGGAAGTAACAGGAGAAGATAACACCAAATGTCAGGTACACTGAGCATGAGGCTATGGTGAATCCATGTCCAGTACTGACGGTGTAATGACTAGACAACCTCAATTATGTATTTTCTGCCTACAAAGATCGTATGTGTTGTTGTTTATTTAGCAGTTTAATGCTTCATGATTTCAAACCACATCTCACTCATCCCTTCCTCAAGTGCCACACAGATATCTCTGGTCTGCTGTGACACTATGACCTTTTGTCCGGTGGTTCAGAGTGGTGAATTACAATAGGTGTGCAGTCATGGAGGGACACAGTGAGATAAGAGTCACACCAGTGGCTCCACCTGGTGGACAGTTGTCAAACGACATCAGTAACACCACAATAGCGTGTAATGATTTTACAGTCAACTCAAAGATAATGGGGCAGCTGTGGGTCAGGAGTTAGAGCAGGTTGCCCGTTAATAGGAAGTTTGGTTCAATTCCCGGCTCCTCCAAGCTGTACGTCAAAGTGTCCTTGGGCATACTGAACCCCGTATTGTCCCTGGTGGCTGTTCCACCAGTGTGTCAATGTTAGTTTCTGTTTGAGCACTTAGGCTCAGTGTATGAATGGTGAATGCAATGCAGTGTAATAGTGCTTTGAGTGGTTGAAAAGACTAGAAAGGCTCTACATAACAAAAACAAATCTCAAAATCCATTTATACTGTAATGAATAATATGTGCTTCGGGTTAAGAAAGACTTCAAAATAATTTGGAAAGGGTGTATTTAAAATAGTATTAGAAATGATGAAATGATTATCAAATCAATTATTGAACCATTATTGATTTTAATGTATTAATGTCTATAAATCTGGTTTTGACCCGTTATGCTTTTATTGATTTGGTTTTCTATTTTGATGTTTTGCAAACAAACAAACAAGCACGCAAGAACACAGACAAGTTACGCCTACAGCACCATTGTGTCTTCACTTCACATATGTAACACAAGTGTAACTGCATGGAAATTATCTTTCATGCAATTTACAACCTGTGACTATAGTTGCAGTGTGAAGACATTAAATTAAATACACAATTTCAGTATCTGTCACACATTGATATCTTGCCTATGTAAATAATAGGCTTATATAAATACTACCAAACATTAGGTATGCATGACATAATTTCTTCATCTTTCATGTGCCCGATTTTCAAGTGTTAAGCTCAGGTAAACGCACAACCAGAAATTTCTATGGGCTATATTACTACACTGCAACAGGTAGGCCTACTGTGGCCCCTTCTTCCAAATCAAGCAGGCAGGTGGTCGCGATGGCCGCTGTCACAGAGTAGGGGTCGCAGTTTGCAGCAGGACGGCGATCCTCAAAGTAGCCTTTCTTCTCCTCACCCACCTGGCGAGGGATCCGGATGCTGGAGCCTCGGTTGGCCACACCAAATGAGAAGTCATGGATGCTTGAGGTTTCATGGAGACCTGTGAGACGCCTTTTGTTGTCCTCCCCTCCCTGTGGGTCATACACTTTGATGTGCTCTGCGTGTTTTTTCCTCAGCTTCTCGATGGCCTTCTCGATGTATCTGTCATCAGAGGAAAGCAGAGACGTTTGAGATATGGAAGGTGGCTGCAGTGAAAGTCTGATGATACTGATGATAACTTCTATTTTTTTCCTGAGATATTCAATGAATCATATCAAATAAAAATGAATCACAATTGAATATCAGTCTATAGAGATTTGGGATTACACAAACAGAATTAGACAGTGGCAACTGTGAGTGACAACTGATCTTGGTTGAAGATACTAGAAGACGTTTTGTCCCTCATCAAAGAGACTTCTTCAGTTCTGACTGACTAGTAGGGAAGCTCAGCTATTTAACCTCTGTGGAGTCAATACCGCTGGTTCGTTAGTGCTCATTAGAGGGGGTCTGCAACACCCCTTATCCCCCACTTACAAGAACAAATGTTTACTTTTGGCCTCAGGTGAAGATGCCAACGATGGTCGTTCAGACTTGGCCTTGGGTGGCTCTAACTACCATAACAACTGTCATTACAACAGCCAGGAGCACTAAGGGACCTGGCAAACGACTCCACAGAGGTTAATTTCCCTACCAGTCAGAATTGAAGAAGTCTCTTTGATGAGGGACAAGACCTCTTCTAGGATCTTCAACCAAGTTGCCATTTATTTTAACCTTGGACTTTTACCAGAACATTAATCGGTCTAGATCAGCTTTGGCCTGAAAAACAATGAATTAATCAAAACTGCATCCTCAAAAAAGCATTTTTGGAAAACAAAACACACTGATATGAGCAGATTTAATGCAGAATATAAACCAATTTCTGATACATGTGTTATTGATATTTAATGGGCTGGGATAATTCAATACTAAATGTTAAAGGGTGTTACAATTTACATGATCAATTACTGTCGTTTCAAGTTTCAAAGGAAATGTTTACTCACTGTAGTCCTCCTTCTTCCCTCATCTGCTTGGTGCTGACGTTAGTGTGGCAACCAGCGCCGTTCCAGTTGCCCTTCATTGGTTTTGGGTCAAATGTCACAACAACACCAAAATCTTCACTCACACGATGCAGCAGGAAGCGTGAAACCCACAGTTGGTCGCCCATCTCAATGCCCTCACAGGGGCCCACCTGGTACTCCCACTGAAGAAAAGAAAAGACAACAGGGAAACATTGGACATTGGAAAGGGAAAAAATGGACAGAGAACAGTAATTGGTTGAATGAATAGTTGTGCCAGCATGAAAGCATTTTCTGTCCTCTGTGCATTAGAATAAAGGTCACACTTGCCTGAGATGGCATAACTTCAGCATTGGTGCCACAGATATTGACCCCTGCGTAGAGGCAGGCCTTGTAGTGGCACTCCATAATGTCCCGTCCAAAGGCACTGTCTGCTCCCACCCCACAGTAGTAAGGTCCTTAAAATGGGTGACATGATGGGACGCTCGTTAAGACAAAATAGGTACAAAACTCTATCTAAAAATACAGAGATACTGTATACTTGTGAATAATTGACTATGCCAAGATATTTTCATTTTCTTGTGGCATTTATATAAATAATAATGCTTAGAAATCTGTATTAAAACATTATAAAGTAATGTTTGTGTTGCCGGTTTGTTTAAAAACCGGTTAGCATGTTGAGCATAACTTTCTTTGTATTTTCCTCGGAGAGAACTGCAGATTAAGAATTCTTTATTGGAGACTTATTACCATTCACATGTAACTGCAGACATGATGGCTTATTACTGGTTTTTGCCTCGTCGGCCACTTGCAGTGTGGTGTTCTATGGTGTTTTAGAGTTCAGAGGAGGTAAAACTCTCCATTTCAGTATTTCACAAAAAACACAATTTCATGTAGCAGAAATTATTTTCAAAAGTTTTAAAGCTCACGTGACTCCACCTTGAATCATGACCCCAAAAAGGTTTGGGCTTCATCACTCCTAATAAGCCTTCAATAATCATTCAAGGCTGTAATTATAAACGTTTATAAATAGATATTGTTCTGGATGCTATGTAGCTCTCAGTCCAAATCATGGACCATGCCTTATTACAGCCGTGTTAAATAAATACTTATTAAATATGAATGAGCCATTATTTTCAACTTATATACCCTTTAAGTAAGCCTTATCAAACAGTAGTAACTTAAAAAAAATGTATTCCACATGAATGAATTGAACAAAGAAGAGAGAAAAAGGACTGTTGATTCACCTTGGGGTGCTGGGTATCCACCTGAGGGCCAACTAAAAGGATGTCCATCTACTCCTAAGAGCGTGTACTCCTGCTCCATGCCAAACCACATGCAGTGCTCTTTAACCATGTCCATCACCTTTTTGCAGTGCGCTCGATGGTTAGTGTCTAGATAAGAAACACAAAAAAACAGTACATCACGTTTGTCCTGACATAACTATAAATGGAATCACGTCTGCAAAACATGAAAAAAAAGTGAACTATGCACCTGCAGGTTCGCGGTTATATGTGAGGACCTCACAGAGGACCAGTTTGTTGGGGTCCAGGGTGAATGGATCCCTGAACATGCTGACTGGCACAAGGTACATGTCACTGTTGGAGCCTATGGACTGGTATGTGCTCGAGCCATCAAAGTTCCACTCAGGAATATCTGACAAGACATATTCACCCTAAAGATTATCAAAAGATCATCAAAACATCTCTTCTAAATATATTCAGAATTGGACTTGTACCTTGAAACCTGATGAGCTCACAGACTATTTTAGCTCTGGTGAACTGCTAGAAATTATATATTTTATTCAACTAAAAGTACATAAAACTGCAATACATTGCATTACACTCCTTCCCAAGTTATTAGCGTTAAAATGTGCCAAACTATCCAAATTGGAGAGTGTTAGCCGTGTTAGTTTTGAAGGGATTTCGGAACAGTTGAAGAAGGAAAGGAACGGAAGGAGAGCGATGAGGACAGGAGGAAGAAACATGAGAAACAAAAACTGAAGGTCAGAGATAAGAATGTAGTGACATTTTTACATGTTCTCAAGCTAAAAATAAACTCCAAATATGCAGCTCTGAAATTGGAAATACCTTACTTTAATGTACTGAACAGTATCAACTTGATCTCCAGATAAGCCTGCACATCATTGAGGTTGCACCAGGATGCTGTTTCACCTGTGTTGTGTACAACCCTCCCTTTCCACAGGCTTTCTGCCTGACAACAGAGTAGAAAGCCCTTTGAAGAGTTAAACCTCTTGAAAGCTTATTCTCAGATTCGTTTCAGAATAAGTATTTCACTTGTGGATAAACATCCATAAAAGAACTTGTCAAAAGCTTTAATCAGTCTGTACACACATCTGGTTTAAACAGCTCAGATTACATCTTATTTGCAATGTAGTTATGCACCTTAAATTAAGAGATTAAAGCCCTTCATGTAAGAGCAGATTGAAGGATCAAATTCAATTGTTCTACCTCTTAAACAAACCAATTCTGTGCATTCTTGACCTTTATCTTGATGCGAAAAGCATAAAAAGGGTATAGAATTAAAGGATGAAAACTGACTCCATATTATTTAGTGTAATAATTAAATAATTCAGTGCCCCAAAAAATAATACATCAGAAAAAACGGCTATTTACCTTTGATGCTCTTCGGCTCACTGTCCAAGGTTCGGGTCTTGTTGCGAAGTCTCTCCCCGGTGCCGTCGATCCAGATATAGGTGACCTGGCACTTCCCACCCTGCGGCAGCCTCATGTACTCCTGGCGCACAAGCTTGTTGAGGTGGGAGCTGTTCGAAAACGAAGACATGCTCGCCTTTCATCAGAGAGGCATAATACAAAGCAAAGGTGATGTTTTTATTACATTATGTGACGTGTTAGCTCTGGAGTTTATGTCCTGGGTTTTTCATTCATTTTTTCATGTTATACACTGGATTAGCCTTCTTCACTAGGCCTGCATTTTCTGTACTTCCCACCCTTACATTTCAGATGTAACTATTGCACTTGCACTTTACATGCTCACATTCTTTCCTTTCATTTCCTTTCTTCCCTTTCTTCACTCCAATTCCTTCTTCACATAGCCTGCATGAAAATACCAAACCTGGAGATACAGGTTATTTATCTTGATACTGCTGTACATACTTTCACTATCATTCTGGAGTAAAGCAACTGGTTTTATGTGTGGTTCGGATAGAAACTTGCAGGACTTGAAAATACATTTGTTACAAGACAACAATAAGAAATATGAAAGAAAAAAAAAAAAAAACATCTGACTGAAACAATACACTGAAAGCAGCAGCAATGCTGTCCTACAGTTCTGCGTTAACATTTACTGACACCAAAGCTATATTGGCCTGTGCTGTTTTCTTTATGAAGCACAATTAATGTAAATAAAAGTAGAATAGAGCAGAAAATACAGGATGTTTGTAACATTTGACATCTACTCTCTAAGGCTCTGACTCTGTGTCATCACAAAGACATAATTAATTTAACCTTTGTGCGTGGTGTCAGTAAAATTAAAGTGATAGTAATACCACGGCTATACCATCTACTTGAAACAAATACTTATAACTGTGGAGTTTCCCCATTAATCATTATATCATTATTGTTTTCATACAATCTGTAAAAACTGTGTTTGTTCACCGATCCAGCTATGGATCAAGATATCGTAATCATTTCATGATATTATGCTTTTTTAAACGTTCAAGACTCACTCTAAAAACTAATTCAGGGGACCTTTAGTCAATACTTAAATATATATATTGTTGTGAAATAAAAAAATCATGTTCTGAGATACTGTTAGACTTTTTACTTGTTAATTGTTATTTTATTGAGCTTGGATGACACACAAATTATGCCTATTGATTCAATATACTATCATGACTTAACATTTTCAGTTAATCAAAAAATAAATAAAATTTTAAGTTCTGTTAATATAAAATAAAATTTGATGATGGTGTAAACGGCCCACAGTTTCCCTCTCCTTCATGTGCGGGCATGTTCAAGGCCAGATGAGTGACCACAGGGCCACAGCTGAAACTCATTAAAGTGAATGGTAAGTAATTTTATGCTTAATTACACATATTTGCATTCACTCTGGATTCTGTTGGTGATAGCCTACTGTAACCGAATACCGAAATCTGGAAGTCCTTACTCTGAAATTTGAGCAGTCTGTATGCTGAGGTAAAGTTAGCTAGTAGCTGTAGCCTGTCACTGATTGAGTAGGCTTAAATGCGGCAATAATAGGTGGCCAGGAAGCCAGGGAAAACATCTTGGCAAGCTAACTTAATATGGGATTACCCATTAGCCACCGCTCTGGTTAGCATGTAGGCTAGCTACGTTTATAAACTTGCAGAGATCAGAGAGAAATATACATGACATTCCATCAAACTAATTTTGACAGCTACTTCCGGTCCCGCCCCCATACCGGATATGTGTATGAAACTGATAAGAGGGGTGCGTACATCCTTCCGTTGTGTGATAATTGGAGGAGGTTTTTCATTGATTTAAAGACTTTATTAAGTAATAAAACATAAACTTGAATGAATTAACTAGTAGGTGTTTATTGCAATAAATTTATCATTAAAAATAGTATAGCAGTGTGTTATAAGTAAAGGAGGAATCTCCGGGGCCAGCAAAGGATCAGTAGGAGGTTTCTTCATTGATTTGGAATCAAGTCAGTGTTTGTTATTAAACAAGTAAAGAATAAATATTTTAAATAATTACAGTAAAGCAGTAAAATGGTATAACGGTGAGTAAAAATTAAACAGCATTATAAATTACCTTCAACAGCATGCAGCAAAATAAGTTGAGTGAGTTCCAAAATTAAACTTTGTAAAATCTTTGCTAAAGCTTTGTGTGGCAAACTTACCATCATTAAAGAACTAAAGAATAAATTGAAATAATTACAGTAAAATAGTATAACAGTGAGTTAAAATTAAACAGCTTTTTAAATTACCTTCAACAGCATGCAGCAAAATAAGAGAGAGTTCCAAAATTAAACTTCTAAAATACTAAAATCTTTGCTTGTGCTTTGTCTTACAAACTTGCCATCATTATCACTCAAAAGCTGTAGCCTAGTCTTAAACTTGTGAGTCTGTGTCTCCTCTTCTCTGTCCTCTCTCTTTCTGGTGTAGCATAGAACATTGTCTTCAAGAAATTGCCAAGAGGGCTCTTGGATCCTTGAGCAGTATCTACCTACCAAAGAGGGGACCTCCATGCGGTGAAGTTATAATTATGAAGAGCGAATTTCTCGTTTTATTTTCACAGACTCCCATCATTGACCTATGGTAACCCCTCCTAGTCTCTTATCATTGGCTCACGGCTAACTCTGCCCATCCTCTTATTTTGTATGTGACAGCATGTGGGAGATAACTGGTGAGGGGTTGGGGATCGTTGCTTCTGGTACAACTAGATTATTATATAGTCTGTAGTTCCAAACTCTTGTCTCCGGCTGAAAAAAATAGGTTCCTGTTTCGAAAACGAACTCAGTCTGGGGTTATAGATAACTCTATTCCATAACTGGTCTACAAGATTACCTGACGATGCTGACAGTTAAAACACACAACTTGATGTGGCTCATTGAGAAAAAGGAGGGAGGGGAGGGATGGAAGGAGGAGCACATTCCTCAATTCACCCTGCACAGCCTATGCTACACCAGAAAGAGAGAGGACAGAGAAGAGGAGACACAGACTCACAAGTTTAAGACTAGGCTACAGCTTTTGAGTGATAAAGATGGCAAGTTTGTCACACAAAGCTTTAGCAAAGATTTTGCAAAGTTTAATTTTGGAACTCACGCTTATTTTGCTGCATGCTGTTGAAGGTAATTTAGAGGAAAACTTTAACATATTATTTTTGATACAATGTTTTATTTTTTAGAATGTATGTTATTCACAGAAGAAATACAAATATATATATTTTTTCATCCTTCCTTTATTTTACTTTTGTAACTAAACATAACTTAAACACTCACAGCTGAGGATTAAATAAATATAAAAACTTTTTCCACACTAAAAAAGTTTTTTTACAAACTCCTGTTTCATTCAGGCAGGTTGAGGTATACTGCAGTTGAAGAAAGAGCAAAAATGGAGACCTGATACATATGAGAGTTGCATTTGACAGATTACACAATGCTATCAACAAGTAAAATGAAATAAAACCCACATAGATAGACATAGACTTGGACTTACTGTGTTACAGGTGACTTCAGGTGTAGGTGTGTAAGTGTCACAACTTAGTGTGTGACATGCCAGAACCTGTTTGTTGTATTTAACTACCAGAAACTGATGATGCAGGCTCACGTGTCCGGTACGTAATATGACAGTTCAAAGGCTTTCCGTAAGTGTGGGTGTGTGTTCATGCGTGTTTGAATTCTATTTCAGTGTGATGCTTTGATTAAAGAAATTCAGATCATTCATTCAACTAATATTTGAAACATATTACTTCTCTTATGTGGAAAAGAAGTAAACACAGGACATCCATACTGCATATTGTCAGCACATGAAAAAGATTTCAATTGACCTCAATGGTCAAAATCCACCCATTCTGTCCTCTTTGTACAGTATTAAAACAGTCAGTAAAATCATATAGCTGAGGTCGACTCCCATGAGAAATAGTAATGAACACCCACCTGTGCCAGAGAGGCCATCTGCTGATAGTGTCTGACTGTTGTTTGCTGAGCTGAGAGTCTTGCCGCTCAGTGAACACAATTAGAGGCTAGGAGCTGCTCGTACACTTTCCGTCAGGGCAGCTGTCCTGAGATGAGGCAGGAGGGCATAAATTCAACAACTCTCACAGAAGCTGGACTGCTTGCATGCAACACTTTGACGATGTATTTAGGTGTGTGATGTGGGCATAGCGCTGGCTATAAACTAAGCCAAGTTAATTAAGGGCCAATAGACCAACAAAGTTTTAATTGGACAACAGTGCATTGTTGCTGGGTTTCAAAAAGAGCAGTCACACATTAGACTTGTCACAGTCAACCACAAAGATGTACTACGTCTTTAAAAGGTTTACTTTTGCTTGATAGGCAACATTCCAGTTAAAATTGAGATAACCAGCCTGTGGAAATAAAGTACAAAAGAAACCCTAATACAGACATGACTATAAATAGTACTGATCAGTTCACCCTAATCAAAAACAAAAAAATGTATAAGCCCACAATGCACCGGCACACCATCTAACCTCCATATGAGCCTGATACTAAATAACTGAACTGTCATCCACTAACACCTTACAAGTAAAATTACCTGACTGCACAACTGTACTTTAAATATACCAAAACAATGAGCTGCTGTTACGTGAGATGGTGCATGTTGTATGTGTTTTTACCCTATTGTTACTATTTGTATGACTGATATTGTTTTTTATCAACAACTGGCACTCTGGGGACATGTGCTTTGTTTTGTTTTTGTACCCAAATGCATGAGGAATCTTGATTTCCACAATAAGAGTAATCTGGTTTAGCAGGTTTGGTTTCCTGTGGAGAGGTGTGGAAATAAACTCACTGGCCACTTTATCAGGTACACTTTGGTAGTGCTGAGTTGGACCCCCTTTTACCTTTGGAACTGCCTTAATTCTTCAAAAAGGTGTGGGAAACACTCCTCAGCCTTTGGTCCATATTGACATGATAGCATCACGCAGTTGTGGCAGATTTGTCCGCTGCACATCCATAACGTGAATCTGCTGTTCCACCACATCCCAAAGGTGCTCTATTGGATTGAGATCTGGTGACTGTGGAGGCCGTTGGAGTAAAGTGAACTCATTGTCATGTTCAAGAAACCAGTTTGAGATGATTTGAGCTCTGTGACATGGTGCATTATACTGCTGAAAGTAGCCATCAGAAGATGGTACACTGTGGTCATAAAGGGATAGACATAATTCAGGTAGGCTGTCGCGCTTAAACAATGCTCAATTGGTACTGAGGGGCCCAAAGTGTGCCAAGAAAATATCCCCCTCACCATTACACCACCAGCAGCAGCCTGAACCATTGATCGAAGGCAGGATGGATCCATGTTTTCATGTTGTTTACGTCAAATTCTGACCCTACCATGTGAATGTCGCAGCTGAAATCAAGACTCATCAGACCAGGCAACGTTTTTCCAATCTATTGTTCAGTTGTGCCTGTGCGAATTGTAGCCTGTTTCTTGTTCTTAGCTGACAGGAGTGGCACCTGGTGAGGTCTTCTCCTGCTGTAGCCCATCTGCTTCAAGGTTCGACGTGTTGTGCATTCTGCATATCTTGGTTGTAACAAGTGTTTTTTTTTTAAATTAACTGGAAATACAGTAACTGCCGCTCACTGGATATTTTCTCTTTTTCGGACCAATCTCTGTAAACCTTGGAGATGGTTGTGCATGAAAATCCCAGACAAATACAAATACTCAGACCAGGTTGTCTGGCACCAACAATCATTCCACATTCAAAGTCACTTAAATCACCTTTCTTCCCCATTATGATGCTCGGTTTGAACTTCAGCAAGTTGTTTTAACCACGTCTACATACTCTGGAAGTACATTGGAATAAATGTTTGTGTAGGCTTGTGGTGTCCGAACAATAATGCTGCGATGATGTGTTGAGAAGAAATCCGCTTGACACTGTTCTTGATCATAAAAGTTTATTACATCAAGGAGTTCAGCATCAATTACAAGCTCTGCAGCAGCTTGGAGAGTGACCCAGCCCGATGGCCACTCTGTCTCTCTGTACATCAAACACAGCTTATATAGGATATGTGTAGGTATCTGTTAGATACCATAGGAAGGGTTCAGTCCCTACACAACCACTAATCACTGCTCTCCCCTTAAAAGGTCACTAATCCTCTATCCAGCTGCTACAGTGCTATTTTAAACTGTTATGAGTCAAATGCACATATATTATACACCACAGACTATCTTTCTTTGATATTATTATTTCACATCTTTTTACAGCAAAATTTTTCTCCAACACTGGAGGGCATCTTACTCAAGCCGATGTTGTAATAACTCTGCATATTTTACACTGGGGAATTTACTGGGTACTTTACTTTATTTTATGAATGCATTTGAGCAAGGCAAGCTTTGTAGCTCTAGTAATGGGAATGTCAGTCCGGCCACGGCTTTGGGCCCAGACTGAAATATTTAAACAATTATTGGATTGATTTTGCCATAGAATTCTGCACAGATATCCATGACCTTGGGGATCTTCTGACTTTTCTTAGCAACACATTCTCACTCCCAGCTCATCACACATGGAGGCTTGGTCAGGACCCCTTGGTATTGTTTTTTAATGACCTGGACCCCTTTAGTGTCTTTTTCAAGCAGTCACTTTCAAAATAAAACTACTCTCAATGGAAACATCTCAATTTTGAAATGTCATGTTGGGAAATATTGCAATTTGGTTAGGTTTAGGCAACAAAACTACTTGATTAGGTTTAAGAAGACATCATGGTTGGGTTAAACAGAAAACATCTTTTACACAACTTACTTAAATAACATAACATTCAATGTTGAATTTTTGTTTCATACAAGAAACTAAAAATGGTCTCCTGCGTAAAAGTCTGGTTTCTGGTCTTTTATCTGTTAAATATCTGATATCTGGCACCTACCTTTAGCGTTCAAAACTGATGCCACAGGGCTTCCCCAAGTGCGTGACAAATCGAAGCCAATGGATCTTGATCCATTTGTGGTTTTCAGTAGTCAACAACTATCATCTACCATTCACTTTAATTAATGGTCAGACCATCAAGTAGGCTATGGGGAATCCTAGAAATACCTGGGGACCATCATTAATGCAGAATTGAACTTCAAAGCCAACTGTGAAGCTGTGTGAATAAAGGATCAACAGCGCCTGTATTGTTTAAGGAAACTGTCATACTTTCATGGTGATCGAACCATACTGACCATGTTTTATCATGCTTTTATTAGGTCACTTCTGTCATTTTCCTTGATGTCTTGGTTTGGTCACACATCCTTTACAGAGAGAAATTGTTTAAATCAAACAGTTAAATGGTCCAGTCGGTTGATTGGTGAGCTACGGTCTTACCTAGCCACCCTTTACACCATGAATATAATGAGGATGACTCCCACACTTTGCGCAATGATTTTCAGCTTCTTCCCTATGGATGGAGGTTTTTAGTCCTGAGGTGCAGAATTAAGTGGTACAAAAATAGCTTTGTTCCTGCTGCTAATAATGAACTGAATAAGGAGATTTGCGCAGACAAGGCATACTTCGGTTTTAAACCTGTGTTTATTTTTATTTTATTGTTGAGAATGTTTTAACATTTTTATTTTAACTGACTGATTTTATTGCTGTCTATCTCTTTTATGTCTTGATTGGTGGAACCTGAGTATAATAGCTAATTATGTTTTTTTTTATAGTTGTGTGTCATACTGTGTGTCAAAATGGATGTCATATCCTTGCTGCAAAAGAAATCTACCTAAAAGAACATATAAAGTAACCTAACCTAATTCATGAATGATCAATTATCATCATACAGGTACTGTAAACAGTATATAAG